ATATATAATATATATATATTAATGTAATATAACGTGACCAATCTCAATTTTAATTTTTAACTCTTCGTCCTACTTTACGCGTCCCAAATTTTGTTCCAAATTAACATTATGAATTATCCCTTTTTAAGTGTGAAATATGTATATTTTTCAACTAACGTGATTTTCTTATTTAAAAACCCAGATATTATTCATAAAATATTTTCTTTTTTACTAGAAAAGTACAATTAAAAAAAAAATAAAATGTGAGATCTCGTATAAAAATTAATATAATTTTTGTTGTGATCTCATGTGTCATGTTACACGTTACATTAAGTCTTGTTAATTATTTAATTTACAAATATAATAATGTAATATTGTTCATATATGTTTCATTAACAATTATATTTATCTACTAAAATTTAATTAGAACAATTAATATTGATTTAATTAATCTTTTTTATAGTGTCTCTCTTTCCCTTATCCTTCTAAGGATAAGGAGTTACTCTCAGTGTAATTTTACTGATATAGTTTATGTTGTGTAGAAAGGCAGCAAGTTTGCAGATTAAACAGTAATTGGAATAGCGAGTGGAAAATTCAGAGTTTAAGGAAACAAATGAACTTTAGAACCACGAATAGAATTTGTTCAAGAATTTGCAGAGCTAAAAAAATTTGTGAAAATAAATTTGCAAAACTAAGGAGCGGCAAAGTCAAAGGAACGAAAGGATAAAAACAATATATATTGCAAGATTTGAAAAAAGATTTATATGTATACTGGATTTTACAAATAAATTCAGAAATTAAGAATTTCTGAAAATATAGAAAATATACTCTCTATTTTATCTTGAATTTTATTATCTGCGAAATTCTGAAAGTTTGTTGAATTGAAAGAAATTGAAAATCTATAAACTTCATAATCGTGAAAGGAAGGGATCTGTGGAATTTATAGAATATAAGATGGCAGGTTACATTAAACAACTCTAAGGCATTAACGTTATTTTTATTTTAAGCAAGGTTTAAAACTCTCGCTTTCTCTCTTTAGAGAGAGGGAGGGAGAGGGGGGGGGAGAGAGAGAGAGGGGGGGGAGAGAGATAGAGGAAAAAAGCGAGAATACCCAGGAGTCTTAAGTAATCTAATATAATGCAAGATTTTTCTCTACATTAGTGAAAAATCTGATATTACATTAGATTACTTAAGACTCTTAGGTTTTCTTATTTTTCTTCCAAGCTGTAACTTGGCTCATGATACACCGCTATTTCCTGTTGCCATTTATCTTGCAAATTATTTTTAGCAACTGTACTCGATGGGCTTATCATGTACGAATAGCGATAAGATCATTATAATTATTCAAGTAATTAGATTGATGCAATGGCAAAATTTTACATTTGATTTTTGTACGTATTTTTAACATACATGCATTCATGCGTGCAAGTAGTGTGCATTCCGTACTTATATAATTCTCTATTATTCAAGAAAACAATTCTTTTCGACTTTTTTGTTAAATAATAAAATCTTCCGATTATTTAACAAACGTCACTTAAAAAAACAAATGCTTTCGTAATATTAAGTTAATAAAATAAATTCGACAAATTTTCGATTGATTTTAAATAATGTTTCAAGTTTAGTCCGACAGTTGAATATTTTAGACTCAAAGCATGATACATGTATCATATAGAAAATAAAAAAATTAAATTATATTTATAAATACGTAAATTCAATTTTGAAGCTATATTTAATCATATTTCTCGAATCAATAATTAAAGTAGCCAATAATCGTTGATTCAATTAATCTTATTGCCAGGCATTTGTACCATAAAGATTAAAGGTTTTTTTTTACTGCTTTTCGTTGCTGTTTTGTTACTCTCTCTAACTACAGAATTTTCCATAGATATTTTTTATTTGCATACATCTTTAAGCTTATAAATAATGCGTACGGCACAAAGACACGGCGCGTTTTTAAACGTGATGATTGGCGATCAATCGCGGCCGAAATAACACGATATACATTTTGCAGGGATAAACATCAACGTGACTCAGAATTCGTTTAGCTCTGAATAAAATTTATTCGATTCTAAAATCTGACAATTTGGATAGGATTTTTCCATCGCGCACGAGGAAGTGGGAAGGCCATGATTATCATAAAGCTAAATGGCCGAATAAATATGATTCTAAAAACGTTTCGTTATATATATGAGCTTGCAGTATCGCCGCTAATATTTTTGCGTGCACGAGGAAGGACGTGTGCTATCGATTTCATTGCAGTTACGATTGCGACGACAAAAGTTACGTAGCGATATCGCTTAAATAATGGAATGGAAAAAATATTGCGTATAGCAAGAGTTACGAGTTTTATTATATCGCTGCACTCGACGCAATAAACGTGTCGCGTCGCTCGAATGGGATAGATAAAAATAAGAGACAAAGGTACGAGGGACAAGCATAATATTCGCAAAGAGATCGATTCTGTATCACAATTACATAATAACAGGATCAAGCCGAAGCGAAGGGGATTCGAGACGCGCCGAAACAAGCGAGAAAAATCACGGGATTGGCGACTTTATATATTTAAATTTTTATCACCGTTCAAGCGGAAGATAAACCGGAACCGATGAGGGCGATATCTCTTCCTGCGCGAGCGGCGAGTGTCGCGTGAAGAAAAAAATTGAATTAGTCGAAGCCAAGGTGCATGTTATGCACGCTATCAACAATATATATGAGGAAGGCTAGGCAAGGCTAGGCAAGGCAAGGCAAGGCAAGTGGGAAGAGATGTATGGAACGAAGAAGAAACGTTTCAACACCGACCATGATGCTTTGACGTCCGTAATCCCAGGCCATTGATTCGTTTGGTTAGTTCGGCGCTGGCACGCTCGACGACGCCCTGCGCCGATATCGAAGACATGATATCTTGATGAGGCACTCTTACTCTTTCTCTCTTGTTTCCTTCCACACTTGTTGTCGGGTTCAATTGCGTCTAGTTGCGTCCGCGCTTCGTAGTCAAGAGTAATACGATACGATCTGCGGACGACGGGATCGCCTCATATTCGATCCGATCCGATACCTATAACAGTCCGAGTCTTTCTCGCGCGAATGAGAATTTAACGTCGCGCGCCGGCGGCGGCGGCGGCGGCGACGGCGGCGACGCGCTTTCAGTAGCTTTCAGGGGGGATGATAGTGCGCATACGAAGCGAAGGGATGATGGTGACGATGATAACGTGCATGCGCGCGAGCGCACGCGCGCCCGTGAAACTTACGCTATTTTTTCTATTTCTTAGCGCGCATCATAGCGATAATCTTACATAATCCTTCCATCTCGGTCTTAGAAAAAGAAGCGAAAAAGAAAGGAAAATAAAAGCACAAGTCTCGGTGAGAATCAATAATCGCGATCGGCGCGGAATAACCCGCCACGTAATTCGCAGGATATCCGGCGATGCACGGCCAGCACGGCTGACATTGATGATGCCGAGCCGAGCTACCTCGTATTGCCTCGTAATACCTCGTATATCAGCGATATATTCCTGTACGTCTCTATTTACGTGGTGGTGGGCAATAGCAATGGCATTGCGGGCAAAAAAAGCGAAACTCAACTCTCGAGGTCTCGAGCGCACCGCTGCTGTTGCACACGTAAGGGTGGTTTGCGCGAGACTGCGCGAGACTGAATCGATATTTGCGTTACTGTGGCGTTGCTCAACTTATCCGGTTGCCACTTCCCCACCCTCACTTATCGGCTGCCTTCCTGGCGCGTGCGACGTGCGACGTGCGACGTACGACGTATACCAGCTACTTATGCCTTACCTGCCGATGGCGGATTCACTTGCCCTTCAATCGCTATACTTATCTTATAAATCAATAGAAGATTTTGAAATTGAATGTCGTATCTTTAAAATTTTCATATGAAATAAGAACGTTCATGTTAACGCGGAATATAAAAGAGCTAAAACTCAATTTTCGATATATGCTAAAGATTTTTTTCATTTTTTTTATGCGATATAATTATTCTTCTGGTAAAAATAGAATGTGATTTAATTTATCGATTTTCTATTTTTCTAGGCTTTATTACATGTTTTATTTTTCATTAAGACCTCTTAAGTATTTGATTTATCTCTCAAGTAAAATTGATATTTTCTATGATATTAGGTTGGTAAAAAATAGTACACAAGTGCCATATGTAAATGAGTGATAGATATTCTACAGCCACTGATTCGCACTTTTCCAACATCTTGTATCTATTGATGACGTCAATAGCCAATATTACCTTCTTACAGAATTTGCGTTATCACCTACGTACTGCAATAAGTAAATGACACTTTTTTCTTTTTAAAAGGACAGGAATCACGATATAATGTGGGAAATGTAATGAGGCAATTAATTAATGAGAAATTGTATAGTATTCATTTTAACATTTATACATCGTTGTATTGGATGTAATATCTCTGATCTTTGCAATATAAAAAAAGTTTCATGCTTACGCTATCTTGAGACCAGCAATGGAATTCTCTAGAAGCTTGATAAAGATAAAGATCGATTAGAAAAAAAATGTATATCGTTTATATATAATATTAAAATATGCATACAAATTACCTTCAAGTCCCAAACTACAAGTTGTCCGTCTAAACTGCTTGTGCTAAATTCATGATCGGATACTCGGCGAACGCAGTTGATTGTGTTTTGATGCACACTATCCAAAGCATTATCATTCGTCTCATTTCTCGCTTGTCGATCTAGCGATTGGAATTTTCGCATAGCAGATAATCCGGCAATCTCCTTTTTTTGCGTGTTATCCAACTTTGAAACAAAATATATTTGTCCGTTGTCATCTACGGAATATAACATTGGCATACAGCTATGCCCCTATGAGAAAAAAGAAGAGAGATAGAGAGAGGATTACCAATTAGTACAATAAATATTACTATCGAATAATCTTAAAGATAATCTCTTAAGAATCGCTTACAGCAGCAACAATGTTATTAGAACCTATCCAAATGCAGCTTAAAAACGGTAAATGCTCTGTATATAGTCTCATGACTGCATTTCCTTTAGTAGCATCAGCGACACATACGGACGAATTGTGCGCTACCCAACAGATTTTATTGCCACATGGACTAAACGCTACTGAATGTATCCAGCCACCTATAAAGCAATGATTAAAATGCAAGTCTTTATAATATAGATAGAATATATATGTGTTTATTGTACAATATATTTCATATATTTCAAATGTGAATACAAAAATAATTAAAATGTAATAGAATAAAAGATGACGGTTTTACCTCCGTTGGGTGTATTAGGAAACTCAGCCAACAATGTTCCTAAACTATTACTCTGTCCCCAAGGACTAGTACCTGGAGCATCCTCCATATCACTGATAAATGCACTGAAGACACGGACTTTATAGTCCGTCGATCCCGCGACCAGAACTTTATTGTCGGGGTGCCAATCAACGGTAGTTACCGTAGACCTCAATGGACGCTTAATGTGTTTACATAACCACCAATTATTCTCTGATACAAAGTAACAAACAGCTATAACTCGTCCTCCGGAACCCACGGCAAATTTATTTTCTGTAATGACAGTCTTTGTACAGAGATGTAACAAATTTGGAGTAAATTCTTTCGGACGTGCATAGAGGGTATATGTATACCTAAAGGAGACCATTTTACACAAGTAGCGGCTCGATTTATTCGCAGAAGAACCCAAGCAGGATCCCACTTGCCGTCTTCTTTCTGAGTCCATACATAGGCATTCTTGTCTGCGGAACAGGTGACTATGCGATTGGTTTTTGGCGCCCAGTCAATTCCCATGACAGCCATGTGATGTTCCTCCAAGGTCTCGAGTAACTTCCATCCGGATGAAGTACGTTTGTGCACTTGGATCTCATTGTTGTTTGGGCATACGGCAACCTCTGTGACAACGGGCAACGCTTCATTATCGCATCCGCTAATATAATCTAACTAGTAACTACCTAGAGAGGAATCTATTAGAAAGGAAGGGGATATCTATTAGGAAGGACGATACCAGTTTTATCTCTGTTCCACGCGTGACAGCTGATGGCATCGACACCCAAGTTGTGGACCTCCGTCATTTCGCGATTACTCTTACTAAAAGAGGATGTTTCAAGACGATTACGTGGGACGTCGAATACTATCGAAGGCAGCGATGATGAATCAGCGTACACTCGAAGAGAACTCGAGATGAACGCGGGACACGCGGGTTCGACGGGCGCGGTCGTCGATTAAATTTTATTAAATGAGACTCTGCCGTTCGAGCGATCGTGTGTCGCCAGTGCTCACGGAAATTCGCGGACTCTGGTCAGTCTACACGAATTTCCTCGGCCTCTCCTCACGATCGCAAAGCACGCCCCTCTGCACACCGGAATTGACAGTTCATCCGTAGGTAGATACTGGGTTATCTGTCTCCTTTCTCTTTTTCTCTCCCTCTCTCTCTCTCTCTCTTCGAGGTTATGTTCTCCCGGATATACGCAATATACGTATGTACTGAAGACCATAAAATATGAAGACGTGCGCTGTTCTCGGTATCCGGTTTTTTTCTCTCATGCCGCGCTTCCTTCTGCGACGACCTCTATCGAACGTCCAAACAAAATGGCTAGGGAAACAAAATGGCGTTTGTTTGGACTTTCTAACCATACCAACCTGTCTTCAATGGTGAGAGTTTCAAACCTGAAATAGGTTCAAATAGATTCGATTTTGTAGAGTTGGTAACCCTACTGTTTTTTTAGTACACAAGTGGGTCGATGGTCGGGAACCGAATAAATTTATCAAAAGAAGAAAAAAATATTAAACTTTCAAATAATTAAATTTTTGTAACAACATGTATTTTGAACAATAAATCAAGAACAAGTTACTGGAATAAGGAATTCTTTGTGATTTGAAAATTAATATTTTTATCGATTTTTAAAAAGGTAAGGAATATAACATTTAAAATTTGTTAACAATCATTGAAAATTGTGGAACAATTTTTCTTTACGTCCTTTCGCTAAATAATGATTTCTTACTTTTTAAACTATATATATATATATATATATATATATGGTGCGCGCGCGCGCGTGTGTGTGTGTGTATGTGTATATATATGTTCCTTTATTACGCTATAAATGGGGATTGGAGGAAGAGAGAAATAAATAAAAGCAAAATAAAATGAAGATAAATTCAGGCCGCGTATAAGTCCCTGGATTATTTATCTTATACAATATCTCTACATTTGATGTGTGTATAGTATAGTATTGTATATGTGTATAGTATTGTATAGTAGCGTTTAATTTCGAGAACTGAAGCTTTATCGAGCGAGTGTTTCTCCTATAATGTAATGTAATAATTGTAATCAATATGTAAATAAATCAATATGTAAATAAATCAATTGTTACGTGTTTATACATTTAGCGATTGCAACAGATTTATTTTCGCGGCGCAAATCACTACTGTGTCGCGCTACGTCACGTCGCAGAGCACAAAGCCAAAACACGCCCTCGTTTAATCTGTCGCGGTCATTCCATCGATATGCCTTGCATTTGATATAAGTTAAGGCCGCGTAATGAAATATTTTACGCAGTGCAGAGAGTGAAGTCATAAAATATCAATAGTGGTTAACGCTGCGCCGTTTTGAATTACGATTCTTAATTACTATGTAATAATCATAGTACTTTTCTTATTTGCATGCAAACTTTTGAAATCTATTATTGTGCGCTATATAAATCGAGTATCAAAAATTTGCTTTACGATTTATAATAATTAAAAAATTATATTTAATTTTTATAGTTTAATTAATATTTTTTAAATGAGATATATTGAAACTTATTAATTGCAACATTATATCATCAGATTTATTCGCATATATACGTTATATATATGTATATATATATATATATATATTTTGTGTGTGTGTGTGTGTGTGTGTGTGTGTGTGTGTGTGTGTGTGTGTGTGTGTGTGTGTGTGTGGGTTTGTATATACATGTAATATTCAAGTTAAAATAATTAATTTATTACATACTTGGATGCAGAGAGGAAGAGACAAAGAGATTAAATTACTTAATTTCATAATATACCAAGATTTAATTAAATTTACTTAAAATAGAATAGTTTCTTAATTACTAAATGAAATAGATACTTATGTCATTGCGTAACATAAACAACAAAATATTAAGCTACATTTTCTACAACTTCAAGTTTTCAAAGTTTTGAATTTGTTAGTTGTTAAAATGATATGTATACAGCAATATATATATTCTACTTTATGCAAAGCGACTTTTTACTACTCTTTTTCAAATTAACTTTTAATCGAATTACTGAAATTCTATTACTACATAGATAAAAGCTCTTTTATAGCTTGGCGGTACATATCAAGAAAGATTTTTTAATATTTAATACAATGCGATATAATGGAGTTATTATCTCGTTTTAGCGGATAGATAAACATGGCATTTTAATGTATTAATTCTTGCAAAAGTAGTAAAATTTTTACATAAAATCTCACATATTTCTGAGAGCAATAATTATTGAGATTAAAATGAGATTTATTTATCTAATTATATAATATAAATTATATAATTATATAAAATATAAATTATATAAAATCTAATTATATAAAAATGCAGTTATATTATATAAATGAACATTAAGCGAAGAATTGACATTTATTTTATTTTTTTTGCGATTGGGACGTCATTGAAAATGAATAATCTTTATCTCTATTTTCAAAACAATATTAATTCTTGTTTTGATTCTAATATTCTTATTCTGAAGAAGAGTCAATAATCTTTATTTCCATTTTAAAGACAGTACCATCTTTCCATTATACCCAAATAGCTCTATAGTGTCAACTTTACAAACGTTATAAAGTGAATACAATATTTCGATGTGGTCATAGTGAGAAAACCGGAAAACCACCTTCGCCACTGACAAATCAGTCTCTCGAGAATTGACCAGGTCTGAGTCTGACAAACAAACTGGTTAGACCACACTCTACTTGTGTACTTCGTATTAAATAACTATTCCAAGGGTGCCAAGTCGTTTTCGAAATCGACTGTTTGTCGAGTTTGAGGCTTTACTCTTATTATATATGATAATTTGAATAATTTAAGCCCAAACTTGCTCGATTAATAAAAATAGAACTGCAAGCAGCTGCTGCTTATAGTGCCAAAGAAAATTGCATCGTATACATAATCGAATGTATAGTGTTTATAAAATACCAGTTTAGATGCTGAATCATTTTCACGCAGAAACTTAAACAAATGGAATTTTTTATATTCTTCAATTGTGATATTTTCGAATTTAAACGATCAAAAATATAAATTTCTTTTTCACATTACGTTAAATGTATTTTACTTGGTAATTTAAGCCAAATAAATTTTTCCAAGATTTTTCGAATATTTGTCGTTTTGCAAGAATCAAAGTTCGCAATTGTGCGTGACATAACTGAAGTTTGATATCCAATTTTTTCACGTATAAGTCTTCTTAATCGATTTTACTATAGCTACGACAGAATATATATACATATATGTATATAGGTATATATGTGTATGCGCGTACATTTTGTCCTTTTTGAAACGAAATTCCAAGAGTATTTTTTATTGCATTTTATCCAATCATTTCGGAAATACAAAAACATTCGTTACAATTTTCATTTTTGAAATCGGATGTATAAGTTGCAGCATTCGATTATCTACAAGAAAAATAATAAAGAATAAAAATAGTACTATATATATATTTGTTGCCGAATTCTTTATTTCTGTTTCTGTTCTATAAAAGTTTGTTTTTGGACGATAGGTTATTCTCAATTCGATAGGTTATTCTCAATTCAAGCCTATGTTTCAGCGATAATTTTTTATTTGTGAAATATATTTTTAAAGTTAATTTTCACAACAAATTTTATCTTTATACATATCTATAGAACAAATTTTTTGAATTCAAAATAATATAATTTTTTTAATTATACATACACACACACACACACACACACACACACACACACACACACACACATTATATATATATTAGGTGTGGGAAAAAATTCGTGGCGTTTTTTTAATGTCATCTAATGGGACGCTACGAACTTTTTCCCACACCTAATATAATATGTCTAAATTACAAAAAATTGATAAAGTACACATATATAAATGTTTAAATTACAAATATAAAAATTGATAAAGATATAGAAAATGGCGAAGAATGTTTATTTATTGTTTACTTTTATTGTAAGCTTTCTTTTATTTTTGTATAATTCACATACTAAGTACTCATTATTCATGTGTGCAGGAACCATGATGTATTTTGGTAAATATCTGGAAATATTTGTTTTATTCGAAAAACATTTCAAGAATATAATACGTAGATTGCAGGCTGATAATGTGTTAATCTTTATTTTTTTGTTAATCTTTATTTTAATTCTGATGGGCTAAGTTGCCACAACTGTCGTGTTTAGATCTTGAGACGTGTCTCTTGTTTCACAATCAGTGCTATTTAAGTCTTCGGCCACGAGAGAGCAAATCTTATCTCGCTCGGTGAGAAAAAATTAGACAGTAGATGAAAAACGAGCAGAGATTTAAATTTCATTATCTTCCGTTCGTTAAATTAGCTCAGTTTTACTTCTTTGCATTTCGTTTCTACGTAAATTAAGTGTTATCAGATTTCGTTGTAGGCTTCTTCCTTTCTTGGTCTAATAAAGCCTCGTGCGATAAAATGCGAGAAACGGCGGCATTATGATTTCCTATTTAAATTATTCTCATGCCAGCATCGCTCATCGAAAGTAACGATGAGTAAGAAAATATAGAACTTCAATTTCCCCTTCTCCTACGTGTCGGAGATTCCAGAGATGCGATGTATCTAATAAAATTCCCGCTAAAATATGCAATCTTGATCAAGTTGTTCATTCGTGTTTTCGTTGGAATACAATGGAAAATTCCTTTATGTATCACTACCGAAAATTTCTGACAAAGCATAAAGATGGAAAAAATTTCCGTTATCAATGATAATCAATAAATACTGTTCAAGGTTTTTTATAATCAAATAAATTTCGAAGTTTAATAATAATATAAAATCTTTGAAGTTTCTTTCAACAAATATGTTAGAGTTAAACGGATAAGTATGATGTGCTAGAGATATATCGGATAATGGATGTCTGGGCGTGTTAAATTTCGTTGTCGCTTTCGTATTTTTGCGTGAAACTGCAAATTCAGCGCTAGGAGATACATTTAGATAAAATGTAGACCCAACGGACACGTTAATCTTTCCGTATGTTTGCTACAGTTTTATCGACCCAATCTTTCTCGATCAACGGACATTTAGATAAATAAATACAATAATATAATTGTATATGACAAGTAATTTTTTTTAAATGACTATAGCATGATTTTTTTTCTTCTAATTATGCATTATATGTATTATTACGTAATAATGTAGATAATTAATATTTTTAAGGGCCAATTGTTTCATTTTTTGATAAATTTTACTTGTAAGGTAAATCTGGTAATCCACACATGTGGTTAGGGTAATCTTG